AGATACCGCACGAATCCGATCCGGAGACCCGCCTGCGCCGACGCCGCCCGCGCTTCCGCGAACGCGCCGAGGAGGAAGTAGGCGCTCACGCATTCCGTCATGGCGAGCGGGCAAAAGTAGCCAATGTGCAGGCCGTTGATGAGGCTCTGCAGGCTGCCGTCGGCGCGGAGGATGTGCTCGACGCGGAAGACGATGATGAGGACGCGGACGACGAGGACGGCGAAGAGGGCGAGCCAGAAGACCGTGGTGAAGATTTTGCGGCGGGTGCCGCGTAGGATGTTGCGGAGGATGATGTAGCTGTAGAAGGGGAGGCCAGCTTCTTGAATCTGTTGGTCTCGTGTAAGTCATCTGCATTGAGCTCCCACGCCCATTCTCGGCATCCCTTGCTTACCATCCAGAAGAAATCCCCAAAGGCCGCGACGACTGCTTTCCTTTCGAGAGGGTAGTACGTCTCGTCGTAGTAGGCATAATAGCACAACCCGTTCGCGATAGCTCCCGCCACCGAGGAGACGATGGGAACGACGGCGACCTTGGAGAAGGATGTGATACCGATGACGAGGAAGCCGAGAAGTACGTTGAGCGCTCCGACGGTGCTTAACGGCGACCAGCTCAGCTCGAAATATGGCAAGTTGGACGGCGACTTCAAGGTGCTGTCAAACACGTTGAGTGTCCCCGAGGAACCCATACCCGGTTAGCGATGGGCTTTAGCTACCTAATGAGGCCGAAATTCGAGTGTCTCTCGGAGCCTCATGTGTAGTTGCTGCCAGTAGCTTTGAGGCAAATCCTATGGTTCGTCTGTGTTTGACTTGACGTTGACGTCTGCTCCCAGGGAGGGGAGTTGGCATTTGGAGCGATCGGGCCGTACATGAGTCTTCAACCCTGCCGACGGCTAAAGAGATGCCTTTCTCAAACTCGGCTATTGCTATCAACGGGCCCGGCGGGCCGTTGCTTCAGTCTTCTAATCACTGCCGTTTATCAGCTTCTGAATCGGTCGCCATGTCACTGGGTGCGGAGAGTTCTTCTACCTTTGGCATTCAGACCTCAGAAAGCCACGGAATGGTGGGGGCGGGGTTGTCAAAGCCGAGCAGTTCGAGGAGGATCTCGGTCTCGGAAGGACTATAACTAGCGGGGTTTGACATGGACTTTCGAGAGGCTTTATCTCGGAGCCTCACCGTCGGGACGAGAAGAGATGAACCTAAAATTCGTATGGACGGGTGCGGTTGACGCCGCGTGCCATCTGCGGCACATCGCGTCGGCACCCTTCACAGGGGATTCGACCCAAAATAAGTTTACCAACTTGACACTCGAAGATCTAGCCCCTTCTCTATGGCCCGTCTCGTAACTGTACACGGCGCGGCTAATGTTGGGAAGACTAAATGGTATGACCGGAGAGTTACTGCCCAAAGTTTCGACACATTTGCCGTTTGGGTGCCAGTCAGCTGAGGGCTCTAAACGCGTTCTCCTTCAGTCCGATATGGTTTACATCATTGGTAATATCGATCTCTGAGCAGACAACGGTTACCTTTTCCTAACTTCATAAAGATACCTCGAGAAGAATCCAGTGCGTGACGCAAGCATTGCCCATTTACAACATCAGCTTTAGAGCTCTGATCATGATTGCGCGTTTATCCAAGGTTTCACCTTATCAACAATCGCAACTTCAAACCTTATTGTACCCAAGAACAATTACATTAGCAACAGATGCGTTTCCTTTCCGGCTCTTCCTTTCGACTCTTCATAAACTCGATATAGACGTCAATGTCCACCAATACTAATCAGTAGTTGAAAACTTATCGAGACGAAGTACCTTTCCCGCTCAAAGGTATCACTAGAGGCAAAAGCCACCGGGACATGCATGAGCTTCAGTCTCAACTAAAAGGCCATAAAATCAAATCAACAGTCCACTCTTGACTAACAAAACCATCTCTGACTTAGGCCAATGTAGCAGATTTTCCGGTAATCTAAAGTTTGTGATTGAAGTTATCATTCCCCACTGCAGATAATACAACAAGTACTCCTTCCAACGAACAGAGATCGAGAGTCAAGCTCAGACTCTGGATAACATGAAGCATAGGCTGAGGTCAGGCTCCTTTCTCTCTCCCAGGTTTGCAGATGAAAGCTCGGTCTCAAGCATACTCAACTCCCTAGTGACTTACAATCTGACAATTCCCAATCCAGGTGCAGTTTCGTCGAGCAATTTATGCTGCTATACTGATCCTGCCGTCGACAAAGCACATGCTGCCGTCCCACTCCATGCTGCATGCCAGGAGTTCACTGCTTCGAACACGACGCCCAACACCACCGACATTGTCTCAATCTCAAGTCAACCTCTCAAAATGGTTTCATTGACGTCAGTCTTCAAAGTCCAGGTTAAAAACAAAGCTCTCACCCACTCGTCGTCGATTCCTGGCTTTCAAACCGCTCGTTCATGAATGGTTCATCCTCAACAACGATATGAAAACCTGAGCTACAGTTATGGTTTTCTGGTAAGCGATGTTTCAAAGGGGATACACCTCATGCAAAGTGTAATGCCTCCAGTCTTTGATTCTTATTCTCCTAGTCGAGATTCCCAGGACCTAAATACACTCCGTCCCCGTCAAGGTAAGATGTTGAGAATCGCAAGCAAGCACATTGCCTGTGGTTCGTCAGAGTTTTGAGATGCAGGGAATTCAGCCATCTCACTATCCCTTTGGCCAGATATCGCAAGCTGCCGGGGCATCATGATTACCACTAAGTAAGGACACACGTCGGGTGAGGTGCCGAGCTAACGCATCTCATCAAACGTAATCATGCGTCAAGACAACCAAGTCTCAGTGGTTCTATCACCAGTCTATTTATCGCACCTGCCCAATAATTCTTATTCACCATAGCAGCAGAAGCCCATACTTTAACACAACTCGAAAAGAGCATACTCCCTACAACATCTTACAATTTTGATACCCCTTTGGATGATACTCGAAGCCGGCAAGACTGGCTCCCACTTTTGTTACCAGAAACTGATCCCAACCTTTGCGTTGGTGATTCAAGGTTCTGAAGGCGGCCTACGAGTATGTAGCTGAGATCGCTTTCCAATTATCAATAACCCATGAGATCGAAGTTGCCAGGCGTCTTGCTACCACTCGTTATAGCCTGTCCCCGATGTTCTCGAGATATTATGAGTCTTTGCTACGGCAATTGAGCAGAAGGCTATCAAGAACGGGATAAACGAGATAGATAATGTAGCCCCATGGAGTTTGACTTCTTCGAAACCCGAAACCAGAAACCCGAGGAATGACTTGGAACTCTGACAAAGTGCAGCATTTACTCCAGCCTCGACGGAGCCTTGCATATTTCCCACCAGGTATATGCTATCCGCACATCAAACAAGTCATCACAGAACAAAGGACATCGGAGGCGGTACCTTCCCAGCAACAACACCCAAATAAACGAGCTCATTCCCATACCCAGTCATCTGGACCCCCAACGCAATGAGCTTCGGCCCACGGCTCACAACTTCTATAACAGACGATCACCAACAGCAAGGATTTATCTAAACGTGTCGCGCAGGTCGCAATCCGACTGGATAGATCCCCGGTTTCCCATCAAAAGAGCCCCAGGTACCCACGTGGATGATATACACCGGAAAAGCTACTGCACATCAAGAGGCAGCTTGTCATTGAGACAACACATCTAATTACCTCCTTTCACAAGTATCCTCCTCTCGGTGTCTCCTTCCGGGTTCTCATCCCCAGAGTTCCGGAAGCCTTAACCGTACCCATCCATTAGCAGCAGCTACAGCCCTCCCCCCCCCCGGGCTCACCGACTCACCGTCTCCAAGGTTCAAGGATCTCAACACTCGCGGTGAGCCAGTGCCCTGGGTACACTTACCTACCATAGCAGGACGTAGGTTTCCGAACGATAAACCACATGGCGGATCCCCGATCTCTCTTTGGATAAGAACACAAGAAATGAGGAACCCGTGAAGGTCAATGCCATCCTCAGTGCAGCCGCGCCCGGACTCCTCTCAAAAAGAAAGATTCCATCGTCCCATGTCCGGCCGGACGTCTGGGAGCGTGTGTGTACTCCGTATGGCACCTTCGGTTACCAGGCCCCATATGGCCCGTATCATTGGGACGTGAAGCCCCACGAGGTCGTCGTTGATCCTATGATCAAATGCGTGTTCACTTTTGAGTCTCCCATGTATGTTTATCATCCACCTTTACCCGGTGTACGGATAGTGTCAGAGTAGGACCATGCCCCTGAATTGGGGTTTCAGAGCGATCGACAGGAACATTTCAGGGCCACAGGACCGGTGGCGATGCGAAGCAGGCTGCGCCTCCCTAGCAATCCGGGGAAGGGAATATGGTTTCCGGCAGAGCCTCAGGGGAAAAGTGCAAAGCTGTGGTAAGATGAGGTGCCGTGACGCCAGGCATCTCTCACAGGCTATGCTTTTTTCACGTGGTTGGGTTGATAGGATTCAAGACTGAGGCGCCACCGAGGCTTGAGCTCACCCGGGCCAACCCCTTGTCAAGGCTATACGAACTGAGTTCTAGTCTCCAAGTGCCCAGTAGTAACAAGGCAAGTAGAATCTGACCTGTGTCCGTCCGGGTGAAGAAAAGGACCCAACTTTGTCTTGAGGCAAGTCAAGCCGAATCGTTAGTATTACGCCCCAGAGCCCTCTGCGGCAAGTGCACAACCAAGACGCCAGAAGCACGCAATCTTGTACGATTGTGGGAAACACACATTGATTGCCACGAGGTCAGACAATATCAATCCGTCTGAACAGAGTACCATCTTTGGCGCGGCTATCATGCAGCGTACTCTGTACCCGGTCGATCATACCAGAGTACCACGCGGGTCTTCCAAGCTTTTCCTATTTGCCATGTAAGTGCACGCATGGCGTGGACGGGCTTTGCTCGTAGCCAAGGCAGGACATTTCAGTGCATAGACTTGAACAACTTTGAGCGGCTGTCTTTTCAAGACGAGAGCGAAAGCAAGTAAAGGCGTGGGCGATGTGTTGGTTAACTTGGGTTGATGTCTTGGTTGGGCCGTTGCGAGGCGGTCTGACGAGCACGTTGTTGGATGATTGGCGACGGAGGGTCCATTGGAGGTCTGGCAGATAAGTTGCGGGCTGGGCTTGGCGCAAGCTTGTTCATCCAGACTTCCGGGGACGGGGAATGGGACCCCCTCGAGCTGATAGAACCCCAAAAACATTGGCATCTGCAAAGGGCATTTTGAGACGTGTCAGAAAAGCAAGGTGCGTTTGGCTTAGACCGCAGATAAACGCTCCGTCCCGTCTCGACTGCCTTTAGCGGTAAAACTATTCCGCAGACCGACGAAACAAGGAGAAATGATATTGAAATCGAGGCGAGTGGCCGGGGCCGGGTTTATGAACCTTGTAGATACACAGGGTTGACGCTACTCCGAGAAAGATTGCCAATGACCCAATGGAACCGATCACGGCCTCAATTTCAACGTGGTTTGTCTTTGGTGATGGGTTGGTGGTGTACTCGATTGACTAATGCCATGACGCTGAGGAACATTTGCGATAGTCGTGCTGCGAAAGCGGATCCAACTGTCCACTAACTCAACGACACCTGGATGGCTAACGATATAGGGACGTGCCGATGGGTTGGTCGTCCGTCTGTCTAATCGGAGAAATGGACGACTTGTTCTTTTCAATGCCAGCAGGGCATGCTCTTCAGGACGTGCCGCAGCGTAACCACACCTGCTGGAAAAAGGCTTCCATTCATTTGCTCTTGGCGGGTGACGGATGGAACCATGTTCAGGCCCGGTCAGCAACCCGGACACCGGACAAAACAAGCGAGGAGAGGACTAGCAAGCAGCCCTGGGACAGGGACCGCTAGCCAGTGGTCGAAGGGTTGGCCCGTACCGGCGATGTGTGGCATCCTGGGGAAACATCAGGGGGTCCGGCAAAAAGGATTATCAAGGGTGCTGGTAGACGCTAGGTGGTTCTGGTTCGGCTCTGCTTCTGGCGTCTGCTTCTGCTTGGATGGAACTGATAGTCCGCGTACGCCAAAGACCGAGTATCTATTCCGCCATCTGAGCAGCATGCCAACGCTCTCTCTCACTTGTGCCGCCATCCTTTTGCGCGACCAAGCGATCAAGCACTCGTCTGATACATCAAATTCCGGTGACTGTGGCTCTCGAGACGGGCCTGTAGAATCGAGGGAAACGACAACGTGCTCTCTGGAAGTTTCGGGATCAGCGGCCGGGCAAATTTGTCGTGTCGGTGAAAGGGAGAAGGTAGAAATTCGAAAACCCCCAGCTGTTCCGGCATGGCGCGGTGTACATTGCGGTCTGAGATGCTGCTAAGCCGGGGAACGGACCCGAGATACTGTCGTGTCCAGACACCTGTAGTACGCAGTGTCACTGCTTACATCATGGCGGCAGCCCCAGTCGTTTTGCAGTACAGTTCGTCGATTACCCTTGGGTAATAGTGGCTCCAGTGACCTAGACCTAGGACAAAGGCTCTTCAAGACGTTGGGTGAGGCTGTCGTTTAAGAGTCGCAGGGTAGGCTCCAGGCAAGATGCAGGCAGGCGGAGGTCAGCCGGTTGATGATCCCAATGGCTGAAGGGACGAAGGTTCGGCTCCTCTTTCTTTGTGGCCCGTGGGTGGAGGGAGGGATTCCTGCTGCTGGCTGATGCTAGCCAGGGCTTCTCCAACCGTTTTGGCGTTTAGGCCCAAGACCCAAGCCCTCCGTTAACTCCATGCGGTCAAGTAGTGTGTGGTGTTTGGCAGTCTTGACTTTTGGTAGTCAGGATTGGATTGGGCCAGGGACGACGTAAAAACCTAGGAACGATTCCGAGCTGGCTAGCAATGTCCCTGGCGCTGGTGAGTTTTGAGGTTTGTACTCGTAGTGTACAGTAGCTGGAGGTGTTCAAGACGAGCCACTGGGAGGGCTCCGGGAGCCAAGTTAGTAGTCCCGTGGACGGCGTCACACACCGTACAAGCGGGGTTTAGACGAAGGGCTGCTGGGTTGATAGTGGAAGCGACTAGGGTCGCGCAGGGGCGCCCGCAGCCGTGGGAACGCGAGCGACGGGGGATGGCCATGTTTCGATTGACTTAGCGGCATGCGCAAAGCCAGGTGACAGCTCGGGTACCCGTACTTGGTAGAGGCGACGGTGTTATTCTTGTTGCGATGCGATGCGATGCGATGCGCTGTGAGTGGAACACACCGTATTAGAGAAGATAGAGTGTGTCATAGCCGATGCTTCTCATACTTGTTTGCCTGCGTGCTGGCGGTGTTAGTAACGTGGTACATAGATAAGGAAATCGCATTATTTGAGTAACCAAGCCGTTCCTGAAGGCCGCAGTTACACACTTGAATGTGTGGTGTCATGTATGATGTTGGGAAGCGATATTGAGGGAGGGTTGACTCAAGGTGGTGTTGATGTCAGAAATTGGGTTGACATCCGCTGCCGCGCCGACGGGAGCTGATCCCAAGGGATTATCTCGATGCTTGAGCTGACCCGATTCAAGGCAAGTGCGGAGTACACTACGTGGCTACTTTATTAGATGTGTTACGGATGGCTTCCATTTGCAACTTTGGGATCAAAAGAGTGGGAAGTTGGGAGTTCTGAGTGGTTCTTTCCCATCGTAAATGTTTCCTCCCCCAGGTGCCACTACTTTCCACACGTGGGAGTGGCAGAAGTACTTTTCACATGCATTTGCTGGGAAAGTGTACATGGATGCCATCTCGAGAAGTTGCGTCCTTATCCTCGGTACTTTGTTTACCGCCTGGTGAGCCCCTCATTCAGAAGTATCTCACTTGCGACCGCGCTGTGTACGTATAGATTGTCTTGGCCTCCCTATCAGGGACGCCAGGACCCTGGACATCCCTGCTCGTTACGTCCACTCCTCCGCTCCGAGGCGTCGCGCCGTCTTTCTGCTAGAACTTTGGCCCCCGCTGTTATCAGCAAAAAAAGGTGCGAACCCCAAACCCCAAACCCCAACATGCGCTCTCTACTGGGACCTCCCGCTTTCGATAATGACGATGTCAAGTGAGCAGCTTAGGATAAGAGGCTACCTTATTCTACAGCACAGTCGGAAGTATTGTCGCTCACAATTTGGCCGGGAGGCTACCTGCATTTCAAGCTGCCCTGAACGTGATGGTCATGGTGTGTTTGCCCCTCCATGACACACACACACTCACTTACTCTCACGCACATTTTCATCCCCTCACTCATCAACCCCGACGTGAGGAGATACCTCAACTTATCTGACATCGTACTGGTGCCAGATACTCCGTAATCATCCATAAGTAAGTCATCGGTGATGGATCGTACTGCCCAGTCTCATGAGATCGAGACCCAGAACTCATGAGATTTGACATCCACATACCTTGCGGTACTCAGCCCACCGGGCAGCAGCAAGGCCCACTCACCTCCACCGCTCACAGACGCATCGCAGCGCATCGCATCGCATTGGCCCTCGCATTCATTCAGTATCTCACTGGCTCTACTCCGTATCACACTCATACATGCATCACTGTCGTCGCCAGTCACTACCGGCACCCACCCTCACCACTCACTCGAGTACTCACTAACTCGAGCGGACTCCTTAACTTTCCTTGAACCGAGCCTACCTTGACCTGCCTATCCGTACGGTATCCGTAAGGTAGGTGAGGTAAGCAACTGAGGTGAGAACCAAGGTACCTAACCTAAACTCAAGCACCTTGTAGGTAACTTGTACACCCCCGGCCTCTCGTCACGACCCCGGGCCCCTGGCCTGCCCTGCCCTGTCCTGTCCCGTTCCCCCTCTGGGCCTCTGGGCGCTGTGCGCTGGGCTCTCTGGTCACTCGCTCGCTCCCTCCTTGCCACTGTCCTGCCCAATCCTGCGCCCACACCTTTTTCCCAGCCCGCCCACTTTACTCTTTCCTCTCGCCTACCGCCGCATGTCGTGACGTTCCTTTCCATTTCCCCCATTCTTACACCTTGCCGAACCTCCCACACACACACTTCCGTCACTCACTCATTCACCACACCACGTAGGAGACGCAACCACGCCGCTCTCTATCCCTTCTGCCGCCCCAGAAACAATCGGCGACCAAATCCTCCCATATCGTCCAGACTCTCGCCAGATGTTTCCCTCATGTCCAGCCCGCCTCGTAACGCCGAAAATGCCGCACCCGCGACCCTGGTGAGCTCCGCGCATTTGTCGTCGTCGTCGTCGTCCACTCCCAGTTCCGCCTCCGCTTCCGCCCCCATCATCTCTAGTCCCAAGTCCAGTCAAAGTCCCAGTCCGAGAGATCCAGCTGCCAACCCGACTGGTCTCGACGAACCTGGTACCGAGCCTGTTACTGATGCTGGTCTTACTGCTGCCCCGGTCGCTGCTCCTGCTTCTCCTGCCGCCGCCGCTTTCCAACACCAAACTCTGCCTCAAGTCCCTCTGCAATCACTTCAAGTTCTAGACACCCCCCTAGCCCAAGCTGCAGATCCACCCCCTGCCACGGCCGCTGTCACCCAGCACCAGCAGGATGTCTCGAGCCATGTCGACCCGAATATTAAAAAGCCCCGAGGCCCTGCTGCCCTCCCGAGGCAGTCCGGTCCGTCCTTGCTAACCCAAGCCCTCGCCTCAGCTCGCGGCATCCCTTCGAGAACACATTCCCACCAAGACCAAACACCGCAACCCTCCAGCCAGCTTTCCACCCGCTCGCTGCCTTCGCCTACCGCCGACTTCGTCCCTTCCAACGCACACTCAAACCCCAACCCGTCCTCTGCTACTGCTGGCCTGGATCCTCTTGCCGTCGACGACCTCCGCAATGTTCCCTCCCTTCCCGGCCATGGCGCCTCAGTAACTCCCCGAAGCGCTCCTCAACCCGGCATCGTACCCCCTTCCGACATTACTACACAGACCGCTGCTGTTCATACCCCCGACGCCGACATGGAGATAATGACATCGCCCACCTACGATATGGCCAGTTTTCAGGGTATTCGAGCAATGCTGCTGGATCACCGCGACTTTCTCAAGAGCACGCGCTCGCCTCGTGGCAGGGGTTCCTCCCTGGAGCGGGTTGATCCGGAGACGCGAGCACAGGGAGGCCTCCGGAAAAGCAGAGCTCACTCTCACTCCACCAGTCCAGAGGGATCTCTCAGTTCAGTCGCTCAAATGGACCAGAAACTACACCAGGAT